TATTGTCTCTCTGGGTTTTGAACGCCTTCAGATCCATTACAACTCTGATTAATGTACACATAACAGTGACCGGTTTTTATACGGGGCGGCCCTTTTCCAGAGAAGCCATCTAGTAATTTCACAGTCGCTCTGGAATTCAATCAGTAGTGCTGCCGCATGACAAAACAACAAATTTCCCATACCAGTGACTGATAATATAAATTTCTACAGGTTAATAACCTTCATGAAAGGGCATATCGTCTCTAAAAACCGTCAGTATCTTCCACATACTAATATTTATTTAATGATCTTTAATCTGTTTGATTGTTTTCGCGGTAACGTATAATTTCTGCTGTTAAAACTCGCAAATCATTATTTTTAACTGTGAAGGGATGGCGGTAGAAACTTCTTTCATTAATCTTCTCAATCATAAATAACCCATTGACAATACAGAAGTAAGCACAAAGACAAATTATCGTAGCTTCTTTCTTGATCTGTTTGATAAATCAGTTCGAATACCTTAAACAGATGTGTACAACATCCAGTACAATAGGCCGCTGCTATCATTAGCTCTATTCGATATTCCTTCAAACTCTGACAGCCACAAAGACTAAGACACTGACCATTAAAAAAATTCATCTGTGTTTTAACTGACATTAAAACTTGTTGAGGCGGAAAGAAATGGAAGTTGTTATGTCTGGATTTCAAGGGTTGTCTGATGTTTCAATACATTAGGAATGTGGCATTCTTCGATCAAACAACAGATACACAACTCTGGCTACTTCAACATACGAAATAATGTAGTGACTTTTTGTTTTGTTTTACTTTATATACATATTGAGAAGAAATCGAAGACTTCAAATCGATCCATCATATGACTATGTAAAACGACGAGGATATACCAGCTGCAAATGTAAGAACTTTTGTTTGAAAGAAAGAAAATGAGACAATAAGAAGAAATACAGAAAACAATTTCTTCAGCAGCACTTACCTTTTGCTATGAATTCCAAGCATCATCGTTGTCATTAGAGAAGCCTGCCAGTGGGCCGAACCCTCGACCCCGCTCTTCAAGCAGAGCGGCCACAGTGTTCGGCAAACAAACCTGTTTGAAACATTAAACGTACGTTATAGTCTAAGGCTTCGGAACTTAAATGGCATCAGCTAGCAATACATGTAATACTAGTTCGAAATGAACCATCCTAAGCCAGGGTGCTCGCGTATCCCCCGACCCTCTGCTAAACAGACGCATCGAACCAGTCACCCCTACACTGAGCCTCGTCATGCTAATGGCCACTAAGCCATGACAAAAGCTTCGTATTTCGTAAAGCAAGATGAAATGAAAAATTCATTACTTCTTAAAGAAAACTATCCTATGTGCAATTAGCAATGACTGGCTTCAAACGGCGACCGCTGGGAGGCTGTACCCCCACTTGATTAAGAAACAATACCTAAGCAACGCCACTGTCTGCAGTGATCCAAGTGGGTGTCCCGCAAGGCGCAGTTACAAGGAAAAGTGGGGTCGAAATCATAGCAAGCCTGAGTTACTGAAGATCCAATGGTTGACTGTATTGCGTCAGAGAAAAAAACTGTTCTAAACGTCGTAGAAGAGCAGCATAATACAAATTGTCACCATGGGCAAACTATGAGGAAACAGGAGATCATAATTATCAGAGAAATAACGGAGTACGCTCACGCACCTATTGGCCGAGCACTGAAATATTAATGGATGTCAAGTTGAGAAAATCAGTGACACAAATAGATAAAAACTCAATTCTAAAAACGAACAGTGTTCGCCAAAACAAAATAGTTGATTTGTTAACATAAACAATCTATAGCAGACCCTTTCATTTGTTTCCCTTGCAAAACATAGTTTTAACAATTAAACTACGTAATAGCAATAGAAAGTAAATGCAAATATTTCAATTTACGATCTCTAAAGGAAACATGGATGTATCTATGGTCCTTTTATATATAGTAATTTTGAAGTATACGTTTTGTGAATGAATTTCAGTGTAGTAATTATTTGTTTGTCTTCTTGTGTTTTGCGTATAATACTCTCTGAAAGCGAAGTGTAATAAACGTATTTTTTTCAGTCTTTATTGACAACTTAGTCGTAATGAAATGACAGTGAATAAATTATTATTGCCACTTCTGGAGTCTCCTTGCGAGAAATCTTGACACCTAAGCGTTATGTATGACTTAGTGAGCTTGTCACAAGCAGCGCATCTGGAAGCTCTGGTTTCTACTCTCTGATAGGAAATGGGCTAAAGTGACTGAATTATTTCCCTTGGTTTCCTGGTTCGTCAGTTACTTAACTACGCTGCACTAACTGTAAATACTCAGGGTCAAAATACATTACATGATTATTATATTAGTCTGAAAAGAATTATGAGACAGCTTTACACTAACCAGCCACGTCAGTTCAGGGACAATGCGTAATAGCCCACTTGCAATTTTGACTTGTCGAATTCCATTTCTTTATTTCCTTCTCTTTTCTTTCATTTACTTCTCCATCGATCCATCTATTTCCTTCGCCCTTCGTACTGTCTTTCTTTTTCTTTATATAATCCTTCCTCCATATATCACTTATTGCTTTTCTTATCACTTGTTCCTCAATTCCTCCGAATTCATTATTCCACCCTTCTTTCATTCATTCCTTTCTGCCTCCCTCCTTTCGCTACCTCCTTTCATCCTCCGCATTACATTTTAAAGACCCTGTCCTGAACCGGTCCATGCAACTCGGTGAACAATTAATTTTGTTTAATTGCCGAGCAGCATGAATATAATAGGTAGACAACAATTTATCAGCATCTCATGTTTCTCATCCCGCGACTATCCGTCTACTTATTCACCGCTTTTGTTGCTCCCCGCCCATTGACTTGGAGAAAGGGAGCGTGCGCCTCATCTATAATCATTTTAGCAGGCGTCGTGTTTCGGAACAGCCGATCGTCAATTCCGCTTTACACCTAGGGCGAATCTTTAACCAAAAGCCCTCGAGCTACGGCGGAAATTTTGGTAGACAAAGACTAATATTTTCACGTGATAAATAGAATGCACAGAATTTGTTACATCCGTCTCACGTATCGAGAAAATTCTTCGTCTATTGCGGTTTAAGCACTGTGGCGTGTTTCGAATAAAAATTAATCTGAAACAACAAATCATTTGTACAAAAGGTAGGATGTGATTAACACGAAACCAGTTTCTCGCAGTGTTTTACCCAACATGGTAACACACGCATTACTCAGGAAAGCGCATATTGATGCCTTGACTGGGATTCGAGAATGCGACCCCACTCTGTGCAAACGAATTCAACCTTGCGAGCAGCAGAATCCAATCGGGAGATAAGGGTAGATATTTCGCCTATTCAATAACATGTCATATATTCTCTATCAAATAATTAAATGCATTAAACCCTCAACTTTATTTTTGTCAATGATAACCGGTTAACCACAGTCTGCATCTCGGGTATGGTTATAATTCGTTCAAATAGAATATGATTACAGAGTAGGTCAGCCATAATGTAATCAAGAGGTAACTACAAGTGGTAGCCTAGACTCCAGCTGTCCTGAAAGAGAAGTCTGTACTTTTCTTTTCTTTTAGCAGAACAAGACATTATGAGACTGGTAAGTTTTGGTGTCCTAACTTTGAAAAAGAACCTCTTCGTTTACTCATCCAGTGTTGAAATACGAAGACATTTTAATGCGAATCTTCTAAATAAGGTCAGCTTCCAGCACAGCTTAACGAACTCAAATAAACAGCTTTGTTATTTTCATAATAAAGTGAAGCTTCGTTAATTAACGTTATATGAACACAGCCTGGACATTAATTACTCCACCTAGTCCTGAAAGCTCTCCTTGCCGTGAATTTATCATGTGCTTGTAACAAGTCAATCCATCCCATTCTTTATTGAGACGTAAATGTACAATACGGAGCGTAATGAGATACTTTTTTAAAAAGAACAACCGGTTTCCCGCGGGTCACAAGCAAATAAACTTAGTCCGGCAACTGTATATAAGGGTCAATCGTCACTGCCGGCCTCGTGTCTGTTCAGAAGATGCAATATTTAATAGTAAAGTAAAGTAAAGTTGGGGTGAGTGGAGGTATAGCTCCTCTCTTCCTTGACCCCGGCACTAGATGGGGGTGAGTGGTCAGCATCACGCCCCGGCCGGCTTTACCCCCGGGAAAGGACCCCGGTACCCATTGTAGAGGAGGCTGGGTGGGCCCCAGAGCCGGTCTGGAAGCAGAGGCTAGAGGAAAAATCCTCTGCCGGCCACTTTACCCCCAGAAAAAGGCGACGGTACCCAATGAATAGGAGGCTGGACACAGGGGCTAAAAAAAAATCCTCGGCCCCCGTCGGGGATCGAACCCCGGTCGTCCAGCCCGTAGCTAGTCACTATACTGACTGAGCTATCCCGGCTCATCAATATTTAATAGTATCTGTTCAAAACCCTTTTCTCAAACACCCTCTTCCCTTAGAAATAAATTACAACATTCTAGTATAAAATATTGTCCTCTAATGATAAACATTGATACCATCAGTGTGATCACCCTTTAGTCGCTGTTTGCAGTTGCCTGGTATAAGGTCCAGCTACTATTTTAGTAATGTACAAGTTAAATGATGTTCAAATGGTATTGCAAAGGGGAATAAAACTGAACAAATCATTTACACAATCAGTTCGTAACAAAATAATTAACTGATATGATTTTTGTGTCAACTCATCAGTTTTTCTCCATAAAATTCTGACAGGCGGAGGAACTCCACAAATACCCAATTCGATTTTCTGATAAATGAACAGGGGACCCCCAGAATATAAGCTGGAGCAGAAACAAATGCACAGCTCGAAAAGACGAAGTGCGACGTAAATCACTTTTACTTCAAGTGATCTCGTCGTGTCTCTTGTCACGACACCTCCCCTCTCCAATGGTGACTGGCCTTGCAATGAAGGCCAGCACGAAATCACTTCAGTGTCAGCCGCAACCTTTGACCCTGCACTTTGTGTCATCCAGTAAAGCGTTTCGCAACGCAAGCCTTTGCTTCCTTTTCCATAACAAATCACAGTTTCATATTTCTGGCACAGTAATCGGACTGAAACCGAACGCTGCGTTGTTCGATTGCTTCGGTTGTCATGTCAGCAGAGTATGAAGATTACCGTTCAGGTGTATTAAGGCAAGTATTAAACTGCGTTTACCACTGCTAATTAGAGATACAGATTGCACTTTGAGAGTTTGTTTTCAAGTCAAATTTGTGGATTATCATAAGTGGAATATTAAATTCAGATTTAAAATATTACCATTATAAGACCATCTAAATAACTTATTATGTGTGAAAATGAATAGAGATACCCCAACAACGACCATATCTGACCTGAGGCAGGAAACGAAGTTCAGTTTTCCGGAAAGTGATGGCGAAGATAGATTGTGGTCTTTTGTGTTATGGCACCGTGCAATCGTGTAAGTTTTTACTGAAGTTTCGGACAAACATGCTGCCTCCACCTTCTTTCGTGAAGATGAAGAAGTGTCCCTCCTAAACGATTATATCCGTGTGCTTACCAGAATAAACAGTGTAATAATCCCGAAGAAAACAATCTAAAATTTCACGGCAGTGAAAACTTCAAATCGTGTAGCGTAGGGTAAATCTTTATGTCCGATTGCTTTCTCTCAACAGAATCGACGAATCAGCCTTCGTTATACTCGGCGTACTTGGGGCAGTCCTGTTTTTCCTTCTTTACTTGTATTGGTGTGCTGGAGAGTGTGCGAAGCAGAACATCCGACGTAAGTCCGAACTCTTGCCCGGTGACCTTTCTCTCGGGGTTTGAACCACGCGATCATGGATGGGATTAATCCGCTGGCATACTTTTACCGGTATAAACGTCCTCACCTTTAGTTGCCACTACTTAAACGATTGTGGAAGTCAGCGGATGAAAGTCAAGTAAATTTATGACAGATTGAAAGTTACTATTTTGAAAAATATACATTTTACATTTTAATTTAAAGTAAACAGAGTCAAGTAATACTCAATTTACTGATCTGCAATTCACCAATGTTTATACATTTTTATGTTTTGGGCTATAGCATTCTTGCGTTATCCAACTTATTTCTATGCCTCCCACCGTCATTCTTAAAATAACACTCAAGCCTTTTCGTTAAAGTACCAGATTTTCTCGTGTTCTCTCGATTCCCGATTTTTCTACTGTGTGCCAAAAAGTAGCTTGGCTTGGAAACATGTGCCCTCAAGTGATAAAGGTGGGTTCGTCTGATTATAAACTGCTACTTATTCCTCTACCTGCATATTTTTACCTGGAAAATAACCGTATTAGTTAATAAACTGTAGAACAATTGGCGAACTGGACTTAAACTTATGAACAGTGAGAATTTCTCGAAACATGAAGTGCCCTAAACTTGTAGGTTTTCACGGCGGTGAGTCCGAAGATGGCTGTAGCGCCTTGTAGCCTTGCAGAAGTTTACCAGTGTTTCAGAGGTTCTTGCTGCTGTCATCAACAAAGCGATCGCCCTGATGATGGAGGCAGCAAGGACCTCTGAACTTCATGCCACTCCTACACTACAAAATATGTATCTTCTTTGCAGGTAAAATAAAGTTTTGTATTTTTCAGGTCTGGGAGTGATTATTCTTGTACGCAAGCGTACAGAGAGCGTAGAAACTCTATGCCCCAGTGTAGAGGACCCCTCAGACATTGAGACAGCCCCACACATTCCCCCTGAAACACAAGGTTCGTATATTGCACAAGCCGAACTAACCTTGTCACCAATGAGACACTGTCTTTACCGCCCCTAAATCATATGCTTGGCTATACTGAATCAATTTTTCATAGCTGTGCAGTGACGAAACATCCTCCGTCATGTACAGGTTTTTTTATTTAAATCTAGGGCAGGTTATATTTTCAAGGCAACACTGCAATAGCAAACTACCTTAAATATATTCATTATACCTTAAATCCCCATTCTAATTCAACACTCCGCCCTGTCATTCCCTGCCTTACAAAATAAACAATGCATTTGATAAGGCGTTGTTGAATAAACGAATTAACAGACTCCAGAATATTTTCCTGATTACCTTGTTCTGTATTCCATAGACGTCGCACCAGCCTCTCAGATGCTCCACTCACCGGAAACGAAACGCTAACTGGCGAAAACCAGGTCGGTACGCACGAGAATGAGACAAAAATTAACAGACGTCGCTCCGAAACTACAAGAACCAACTCGTCATTCTTCCACACACGTTTAAGAATAATGCGTGAGGGCGTAGCAGCTTTCGTGTATTCGTCTGTCAGTCTTTATGCACGTAATTAGAAGTCTATCGGCTAAATGTAATTCTGGTCCAAACTGGTGTCATTTTACACAAACGAAGAAAATTTAATATGTTTATATGTTGTGTATTTTAATGATTTTTTAAAGATAATTGCCAGAAAACAAAATTTTAAAATTATACCCATGAGAATGCAGCAAATGACTGTAGCTACATAACGTGATAATTTTTTAAATTATAAATTAAATTGGCCATTTAAAAATGAATTAACAGAATGATTGATTTAATTGTTTGTTTTAATGTTATTATGAATAAAAGCTACTAAAATCTACCTAAGATAGGTATAAGATTCTGTTTTAATTTTCAATTAAAGTATTGTCGCACTTAAAATATTTAAACGTAAAGTCCTTATTTTAAATAGTACTTAGAGTTCCTATTGTTTATGATAAGCTAAGTGATCTCGCAATATATTTTATTTTTTGATATGGAACGAATAGTAATACACAGAAAGAAGACTGACAAATTAGACTGGTTTTAAATAAAAAATGTGATTCTATGTAGCAACTTTCGGCTTATAAATATGTAACATACCTACATGTATCTACTGAAGAAACATTATGTCATACAAATAAACTTGAAACTCGTAAGAAGCTCTTATTATTAAAACAAATGTACTGGTAATTTTAAATATCCAATCATGCACTTTATTTTGTAATAACTAACAAATTCCTTATACTTAAATAAATAAAATATAATCTAAATAATTTTGTTAAAATCCGTAACATATGCGATCTGAAATTAAGGTGCATATCAAAGTGTCATGTTCATGTTAATCAAATCTGTACACCATGTCCCCTGAAAGGATAAGCTCATTGACAGTAGGGTACCGGTAACTGATGAGCAGTGATAAGAGAAATATAAACTGATAACAAAAGTTCAATATCAGAAGTGCGCTGTAGTATACGATAATGTAACTGAGACGGCGCACTCCGAAATCAGCATTTCGCTATTTACTCCTAAGTCACAGTTTAACTACACTAGGAAACGAATTGGAAATGTCCAGGCGGTGTTCTCTGCTTCAAATACTGTTACTGCTGATATGCCGCCTATCGTCTGTTTCTTGCAGCACCGCGAGGTAATGTATAAAAACTGTATTTTTCTGTTTATTTATGTGTAGTTTCCTTGACGATGATTTTTCTGTATCTCAGACTATATACAGGATGATAGTGAATAATGAATCGGAAAGGATGTCGAAGGAAACGGTCGTGAAGACTGTAAAGAGTGAAGTCATTACCTCGCTCTCGCTGTGATCAAACACAGGCACTATAATTGCGATGATTTGCCCACGACATTACTCTGCGAGTGGAAGGAAAACAGGCCCATATCCTGCGTGAACCAAAGACATTACTGACATTGGAAATGAGACAGTGAGCTACGAAGTATTTCCGCTGGGAAATAATAACTTCTGTCTTTGTTGCGCCGGAAAAAATTCAGGCTAAAGACTCCATTATAGAAGTGAGGATCACCAAAAGAAGATTACGGATGACATCAAGGAATAAGGCACCACCTCACACCGCGTACATGCTTCACTTCCACAACCCGCGTGGTGGTGACTCATTACATGATTGGTCGTGCTCTCAAGATATGATTTCCTTCCTCTGTTTAGCACTCCCGAAGCCGTAGCTGGAATCCTCTGTTTCGCTTGTTTGGGAATTATAACAATCATCCTGTGCTGCAAACATTACTGCCGACGTAGCAGCGCTGAGACAGCACAGCGTAAGTATTATAATTATTTGCCTTATAATGACGCACATAACCGTCCTGGAAACAAATATAATAACAGACAATAGCAAGAACAGTCAACATTGTAGATAAGAAGAATAATTTGTCCAATCTCAATATGGCGCGTAAAGTGTGTTCCTTCACAGTCTTGCCTGCATGCTAGCTAGATATTGCCTACAGTATAGTTGAGGTTTGTATGTTGTCCTTAGATTTTTGGGGGTTGGAGTTTTGTGCACAACTTCAGCTTTCGGGAATGAGCAGCATCGAATTTTGAAAATCACCCAACGTCTCGGCAAACAGTGCAGCTACCAGAAACGCCCACAAATTAGATACTCACCCTCAAAATGATAACTGCAACGTTTGCCGAAACCGGTTGTAAATTGGATGTTGAATGTATTGTACAGAAATGAGAATTTGAATTATACGATATAGGCCTACCTATTATTCACCCGTTCAAGATAATAGTCCTATGTATGAAGCCAGAATGTTTACTACTAACGTTAAGCAAGGCTACCGATTCACCCCATCCTGAAACAGTTCAAGTAACAAACTTTTCGCTGCCCCGCGCCTAGCACCGATAGCGTGTGAGACATCGGAAATGTAGCATGAAAGAGTACATAAAATATATAATTCTGATTAAAAAAGCTTCAAGGTCTCAATGAGTAAAGTGATTGGCTACAAGCCGGATGACAAGAGTTCGATTCCCGTCAGACTTATTTCTTAACCATCACTGTGTCGAAGCCGGCCATGGTGCCTACCAAGCTACCTATCCAATGCACAGGCCTAAGTCTCATGCCCTCGTGCTTAATTAAACACAGGAAATACTTTACATTACATTAAAACTTCTAATGAGATATTTTCATACGAAGATTTGTGAAGCATTTAGAACAGGACAGAGAAATACTATTACATTGTGATGACGGACTAAACTACCCTAGGGCTGAATTTTGTGTCAGTAGTGTTTGAAAGACTGATTATGTAGCTGATTATAATGTGTGATACTTCAACGTTTTTCAGAGATTCCAACAATCGTAATTGCAGAGATTCCTGACAGAGTCACTTGCCCCTATTGTTCTGGTGACTCGTCGAATTGTCCGCTGGCGACAAGTCCAGCCTACTTTTACTCACATCCGCAGACAGGTGGGCAAACAGCAGTATTGTTATTAAAAACGCGAAAAGAAAATCCGCTTAAAGACGTTACGTTTACGAAGTACCACTTATTAATACCTTTATAATTTGCGGTTAGTTTACGTTACGTTACGTTGGGTTACATTAGGTTAAGATAGGTTAGATCCGTTAGGTTAGGCCAAGTTGGATTCGGTCGGGTTAGGTTAGGTTATGTAATATTGTTATTGATATGGATAAAATTATTAGATTGTGACACAATTGACTGAATTTCTCTTGCAGCATACGAACCCCCGCCGAGCTACTCGTCTCTCGTGATTCACGAGTGTCCTACAATACAAAAGACATTCCAGGTTCAAGACAATGCACCAAGCGCTGACCATCCTAAGTGACATCCACTTGAGTACAAAGACAGCTCCTTCTTTTATGTCTCTACGAATCTAAAATTGCTAACAAGTGTCATCCACAAATGACCCAAACACGAAACACGACAGAATATTTAAACCGTCCGTTCTAATGAACTTATATTGTGACACCTTTTTGTTAAAGAAGAATAGATCAATAAGAGGAAAACTTTGAAAAAGCTGGACATGCACAGTTTATATTTACCACCGAAAACCTTAGCTCTTATCTCGATACTCCAGATGTGTATGATTGTACAACACTGAATGTCTATAATCCACACATTAATGGTCTGAATCAGGATTAGGACCCATGGTTTCAGTCATGTTTCATGTCAATATCTCACATCAAGGGAAGAAGAATTCAAAAAAGGGCATCGACTATACCGTACATTCTAGAATCATCAGAAATTTACCCTCAATAATGACGGCAAAATCTAGAGAAGTGCTTTAAATACACATTTTATTGATAAATCTTTAATGTGACTCGAAGGTTAATTACTGTGTTCACATAAACTCGTCACACTGGTCTATCATGTTTTACTTCAGTTCTTCGCATGTCGAGGTAATAATTTAAATTGCGTCACAACCGTTTCCTACAACCTTCAAAATCATCCTACCACGCCTCATTCGACGATACAAAACACGAGCAGTTCATATAGCTTTCAAAATAACAGAATAATCTACCAACGCGACGGGCGGAAGAAAATCCTCGGGAAAAATGCTGTCGGCTACACACAAAATCTGAACTACGCACGTCTCCTGGTAATAATTACAAGGTAGTTCAATCCAGAAGATTAAGATGTCCTGAACGCGCAGATTGGATAGGTAACACAAGGAATTAACTCATAATTATGTATATTCTTCCCTGGAAGAAGTTCGTTGGGAGCCCATGAAGTAGCTGGAAAAATAATATTAATCGGGAAGTAGGCGAAAAGAATGTGAAATGCATGAGACAGACAGAGTGAGAGTAAAAACGATGCCATGTTTCACCGTGCCATCGACCTGATGATTGAGGCAGCATACCCCACTGAAACGTCGATAAACGTCTACCAGACTACGTGACGCAACAATCCAGAACACAGCCGTCTTCGCTTCAGCTGTTGTGAGAACCTGAAAACTCACCAGGGTGACAGCGGGCTGTTATCAACAATAACGAAACTTCGGGCTTGTTTGCTGTACTCCTACTTATTTGTTTCGTGTACAGTTTAATTTAACACAGTCTTTCTCTCTCACACACACAAAATTTGGGATAAAGAAGATCTTACTACATTAAATAAATGATTTTGTTACACTTATGGATCCGTTAGAACGTTTCATTGTCAATATTAAATTTACTGAAATAATTCCCTGGTCCTGGGTCACTCTTAACCCTTTAAAGCACACTGATACGTATAACTATCACCTAATTCAACATTCAATAACTCTGTATTTTATGGTTTTATATGATTCTCAGAATAAATAACTATTATTTCCTTAAACAAAATTAATAAACTGATCTTCATGGTGGATAAACGGGCATTGCCTGGAAACTTTCACAGCCGGTAAAATATCTATCAGCCCCCTCCCGAAACAAATGTAGTGTCTCGCTACCCCCCAATTCTCTCACTCTTTCTCTCCGGGCTTCAAGGACTAAACGGTCGTCAATCAATCACATGAAGAAAACATTACATGTCTTCATTAAATCAGAAGGTGCATCATCTTTGTTACAAAAGCTGGCTATGGGAATCTATCCCGAAGTATAAAAAAAGTGTTCACATCTGTACAATCAATTTCTCTAAGATCAAATTTTAATAAGAGTCTTCCATCCACACTCAGTTCCTAAGTAGTCTCTTCCTATGACGTTGTCCAAACAAATCCTGCATAAATTAGCTAAACTGAAATGATTATCAATCAGCAACGTTTCAAAAAATGTCGACATTGATACAACCATCTTTAATATTACAATCTGCTATTTTATCTTCGCGAAGATAATTTGAAAGGTAACTGATAACATTTATAGTTTGATAAAGGTGCTGTAGTCGCGATCGAGGAGAAAAGTATTGGCAGTGTGACAGTAGCTAGTGCTGCAGAAATGTGTGGTCGATAATTAATATGTTTTGTAATTCTTATGAAGGAGTTTATCCGGAGGAGATAAGAAGCAATGAACAATGGCATCAGCAGATTTTTCGACAACAGATCCTACGACAACAGCTATCCCTACTAAAGGGCAGAACAGGTACAGTACCACTTACCCTTTTCTGTTCAGTGTATTAGCTAGGGCAAGGAAGACAAGTAATGCATCAGAAACCTCTTGAAAACAGACACTTAGAAAACTTAGAAGGTGGGTGGATAATATTAAAACGGATCGTAAGGAAATTAGTTCTAAGTAAGGAGGATGATGAAACTAGCTCATTATCATGTCCTATGGCAAGCTCTGTTATTCGCGCTGTGGAGCCTTCGGTTTCTGTTAATTTTACAGGCTTAAAAATTGCCTAGAGTCACCCTTTCTCCTGAGTCGAGACGACAAACAGAAATTCGAAATAGCCACTTTTAAGATTAATAGATTATGAACTCACGTTTTGTAAAAGTACAAGTATCTGTAGTAATTAAATACATTGTCTGTTATCTGAATCCAGAAACGTGTAATTTATGTATTAGTAGTTTGATTTCTGCTCATGAAATTCAACAGTAACTAAAGACAAAACCCATTTTTCAATTAAATATAATACAATATTTAATTAAGCACATTCTATTATTTTAGCAACCACGTTTAGCAGTCTATTTCTGTATTTGAAATAACTTTTATAACAAGTTTAATTTTAAAAATGGTTATACCGAAATCTTAAAATAAACTCTGGTGAAATCCATCCTTTTCTAATACTTAAACCCACTGCCATAAAATGTGCTAGTACAGTTGATTTAAAATCATTTTGTAACAAAATAGTAAAGCTGTTGTTTGCAGTCACGAGTAAGTTAGTTCTAAAAACTTTGTGGTAGAGGGATAAATATTTATCTTGATGAGTGGAACATAAAATATTTCTTGCGCGGTCCCATTATTGACACAACATAACCTGTGCAGTTAAATATTTAAATAAACCAGGAAAGTAAACCAGATACCAGGCAATTAATTACATAGGAAAAGTCTCACTTCATAATCATCTTCCCACAACCTGAGAACATTACTTTCACGATGTATATTGAACACTGCTCTGGCTGGGCTTTGTATTTCAATCATATATCACTAGATTTCTTTATGAGGACTTTCATGTCATGTGCTTATTTCCCCTCTTGTTAATTATAATGAATTTTCTAGACATCGCAGCCCTAAAGAAAACTTATGCGTTATGGTTAGCCCGAAGTAAAGGGAACAAGGGGACAGAGCCTTTATCCTGAGAATCCGCGTGCAAAACACCTCACTGTATGTTACTTCTTTCGCAGCAACGATATGGTGCAGGTGTGGATATGGCTCTTAGTGGCAGTCGCAATTATTGGCTTCCTTTTCAAATTCTGCACTTGGTGCGCAGAACAAAACAGGGAGTCTGGTTCCACACGTAAGTTGTTCACAGTAATTCGATTTATGTTGTAATTCGCTCGACCAAATCAAGAAAACCAATAACAGGCATACATTGGAAAGGATACAAAATATTGAAAAATCAACACGTTAGTCCCTCACCTCAAAACATCGAAACGGTTAATACAAATTGCAGAAAATAATAAATTATAGGCCTTGCGTGAGACATCCATTTCTTTTTCCCCACACTTTACAACTATTTTAACATTTATTCATAAAGATGGCAGAACTACAGGAATCAACAGAATACGACCGTTATCTGAAGCGATAATCATATAAAACTGATAATTCGATTTCATCATAATTAAAATAAATAATGCTGAGTAATTCAAAAACCACTGTTCATTGTGGCCGTCTGGGCTGTGACGCCACATAACTGCCTGCCTATCCTAAAAACGAATGCACTGATCTTTCCAGCCACCAGGAGCCTGTCCACAGTAGCCATAATCGACGCAGCCGCTCCACAGTCGATGACGTGTCCTCGTTGTGACCCATCGGAGTACTTCGCTGGTTTAGATCAGCCTCCTCCTTACGGCAGCCTGCTGCAAGGTAGGCGCACAGCAGGCTAATACATGCCGATATCAGCCTATATGTATATGCAGTATATTCGTTCTAACCGTTTTCTTGTAAGGAAAAAGAAATTTCACTTCATTTGTCATTTCTTGCCCAAACTTATGGAGCCCTCGTTTAAAGCCCTCTATACGCCTCCGTAGCGCCAAAGGAAACTTATTTATCCGGTGCTGATACTTCGTATGCTTTGTACTAAAATTATTTTATCCAACATTTGTAATTTCTTATCAGTCTGAACGTCTCACTTTAATTGTATTTTTCTCTTTACATAAAGGCTACCATGAAGATCCACCCCCATCATACTCGTCTTTGATGCTTCACGCTTTACCGACTGAGGAACACAGACAACCAACTGCAAGCACAGAAAACCACACGGGTGACAGTCCTCACAGTTTACACATGTAGCCGCTGAGAAAGACAGGCGACCGCTTCCAAGATACGAGTGTTCACGTTCACATGGCTGAATAAATACATGAAAACCAAAACGGCAGGAAGAAACAGATGAAGTCAGTTGCAACAACAGTTAGTTATCAGTCGAAAAGGTTTAACAGAGATAAGACAGATCAAAGCACACCGTGTTTGTGTATGGCATGTGAACGTGTTTATAGTGATAAAGAACAAGGATTAGACAAGTAAAACACTGATTTCTAACGTAAAATATATGGTAATTAATTACACCAATAAATATTTAATTCAACAGAAATGACGAGCGCCGTAAAATAAGCCTGTCCATTAACTCGCCATAACTTTGGGCAGAGCAATGGACCTGTCTTAAGACAGAACACTTAATAATAATAATAATAACTACAGAATGTACTCTAGTTTCAATCAAGTTGCAATTTATTGATTTGGTTTATCAGTTATCTGAGGACGATGTATAAACTACAGAAGTTACTTAATTGCCACAGAAGAGCGAGAAGAAATGGATCAGAAGAATAAATCCAATTCAAAGTCCTGATACTGCGTTCTGCGTGGGCTGCCATACTACAGCCGGCAGCTGAAGTAGACAATAGATTATCACATCTGAATGACAGTAAATTATGTACGCGTATGGTGACAGAAAAGATATAACATTTCATTTGTTTTGGCGATTGTGACGCAAATTTGGCTTTACGATCAATATTATAGGCACATATTATGAGACCTGTGTTAGTTTGAATAAATAAAGCCCATAAAACTATAGTCATGATCCAGATGGTAAATTTGAATTGTAAAACAGATAAAATTGAAAGACAACAAACTATTTTTATCCACCCTTGTATTATGAGATTGACAGGAAATGTGTTTTGCACGCCCTGTTTGACAAGGTTAGCTTCGTTTTAGACACGCAAGAGGATCTAATCCGCAGACCGATAGAATCGAATCCACACAGTTATATAGTGAAATAGACGTCTTTCTTTGTGGAGGAGGGTTTATCTACGACGGTCGGGTGACGTAATACGAATGTCGCAAGTGGCTTCCTACAAAGCAGGCGCGTCAGTATTTGGCCTAGAAACATCTGCAGTTGGTTCTCTGTTACTCTGTGAAAAGGAAGGATCGTGAATACATGAACACAAGAAATAGCTTCTTCGAAATTCGAAAGCCGCTGGACAATTTTAAGGAAAAATGTGTAAGAAGTTCCCTTTTAATATAACAGGCTATATAATACTGGTGTGTAACAATTTAAATCTTATTTAATTAGGGCCATTTCAAGGCCAATGAGTAGATGGGAGAGAAATACGAAACTGGTTTGCAATTAATATGCCAGGGGAGCGTAGATTCGACTAATATGACTCAGGACTCAGTGTTTTTGTGAACACGGTAATAAACCACTGCGTTCCTTAAAGTCGGAAAATTTCTTAACCAGCTTAGCGACTATCAACTTGTCAATAAGGCCTCTGCTGTATGGAGATAGACTATTAGGTAACTTAAATACGCTATTTCAACTAAGAGTCAAATGACATGGGATTACCAAGAATTTAAATGATTTGTAAGGAGACTGTCGTCGCGCATTTCAAGGTAATATCTTGGCACTCGCTTAGACAGGCGGGAAAATAGTGATAAATCTCAGATAAAGTGGTAACCCGGACTAGTAGTATATACACCACTTTTATTCCTTGGTAAAGGATTTATCAAGATTTCTTTGTACTTACAACGCAGTGTTGATTATTACAGTAGAACTTCCTTATATTAGAACTTTTAACACATTTCTTCAATTCGAGGCAGGTAACCGTTTAACAGTGTAGAATTTGATACGTAGTTACAAGCGAGCTGACACAGAACCTTAGCAAGATTAAATGTTGTTAAACGGCTTGTAGGTTTTTAAGTTGCATTTCTGTAGCCCTCCTACTTTGTCTTCGTTTGCTACTGCAGAAAAATATACATTATTTAAAAAGTAAATCATCTGTACAGAGTGCACAAGGGCATCATTATTTCAATCTATATTTAATTAAATACGTCTCCATCGATTCAAATAAATGTTATATACATTAGTTATATTTACATTTAACGTCACGTCCTCGTTTTTCTTTCCTAGTAACAGTGCAGTATTTTAGGTCTTAATAATTGCGCGATGTCAGACTGTGTTTGTATTTTCTAAGAAAATAATAGTGATATTCAAGAAAAGACTGATAGCATTTCAATACTGCAAATCCATCCATCCACTTAACATTATTGCTCATATAATTAACATTTCAAATATAATTTTGCTCAAAAGTGGATCAATACTGACTAGTCCTATTACGTACTTTGTAAAGTCTAATTAAATTGTTTCATACATCAGGTTTATGATCCTGTATCGAATCCTGACCGAATGGGAAAGTGTTTAAAAAAATATAGCCTTCATTAAGAACAATGTATCGGCCTTTTGATGTATGTTTTCTTGATTCCTTTTTAAAACGACAGTTAAACAATAAAGATTCTTTAATGAAGTTAAAGATACGAAGAGATAAGACGTGTAAATTTATGTACTTTGTCACCCATTATGAATTCCGATTGCGACGCATGAATCCCATATCATGCATAAATAGCAAAGACAATTTCTCAGACACGACTTTGGGATTCGTGCGTGGCATGGCGTCGACACACAGACATTTGTTACGTCAGCAACGAAATGCGATTAATTCATGTCATGTTATTCACAACACAGTACTTTTGAGTACAATGAACACGCAAATTTTACCCTCGGTACTTCTTAGGCTACATCACGCGTGGAAACAACTAGACTCGTTTTCTGTACTTCGTTGAAGATGTTTATGGAATGCAAAACCTACTTCACAACAAACCGATTTTTCATAGGGGCTGCGAAATTCCAGACGCTGTATGTATATCGCAACTAAAAACCATTCAACTGCACTGTGTATGCCG